TGGACGACCTGGAGGATGCGGAGAGCGACGACCATTCGATGTCGTCGGCGTCGAAGGACGGGCTCTCGAGCGCTGGTGGGAATCCTCTTATCTCTTTGATGACGGACATGTTTGCCCTGCTACTGCTGCAGCAGCGATGGAAGACGCTTCTTCTGTTTGCTTAGCGTTGGCGTGTCTCCCTGCCGTCGAAGCGCGCAGGCGACAAGAAGGACGCGAGCCGCGAGGTGATTGGCCGCCTGGNGTACCGGCAGTACTGGAACGGCCTGCGTGTGCGTGTGGGTGTGCACACCGGGCTGTGTGACATCCGGCAGGACGAGGTGACGAAGGGCTACGAGTACTACGGCTGGACGTCGAATACTGCTGCGCGCACTGAGAGTGTTGGTAACGGCGGGCAGGTGCTGCTGACGGACATGTTTGCCCCGCTACCGCTGCAGCAGCGATGGAAGACGCTTCTTCTGTTTGCTGAGCGTTGGCGTGTCTCCCTGCCGTCGAAGCACGCAGGCGACAAGAAGGATGCGTGCCGCGAGGTGATTGGCCGCCTGGCTGTGAAGGTGGGCCGCGTGATCTCCCGGAAGGCTGAGGTGCAGCAGGGCGGGCAGGACGTCCGGTTGGGCACCCTTGTTGGGAGCATCGGCACGCGGAGGAGTTCCCGGCAAAGCAAGGCCTCCGTCATGATTGATGCAAATGATGATTTGGCGGCGAGAGACCGTTTGTGGAGCCAACACGGTGCGGAGAGGTCGTCGGTCAGCTTCGTGACGATTGAATCCCGCCCACCTTCTACGTTTTTCACCTCATGATGCGTTGCGCGGCAGTGCCCTCTCTTTGCGCCTGTGCTCCTTTTTGCTAGCGCTGCCTGTGTGCTCGTGCCTGTTGCCTTCGAGGGTGTTCCTGGCCGCTGATGTACTCCCAATGGGTGCGCGGCAGTGTTGTACTTTGCATGTGTGCCGATGCTCCTTTTGTCGTGTGGTTTTCTTTTCCTCTCCGCCGTGGCACCGCGAAGTGGATGGTGCCGGTGGTGCGTTTGACCGTCATGCCGTATATGTTTGCTTTTCCCTTTGTGTGGGCTCTGTGTGACTTTCCCTTTAAGGCCCACGCCGCCTTTTTCCTTTCTTATACCGTCAAACTGTTTTGTCACCGCTCTCTGATGTATCCATGGCCTGCGGTGGCGGTCTGCGGTGCCTCTGGCTGCCCACTGCTGTGGAGGGGCTGCAACTGCCGGGGCTGCTGTTGCTTCTCACTCCCGTCTCGTGGTGTCTGTGGCCTATGTGTAAGAGATTGAACTCCCTCCCCCACTGTGCACGCAGCCATGATATGCGCTGCTGTTTCTGGATGTGATGATGCTTTTGTTTTTTGGCTTCACAGCCGTAGCTTTGTCTTTGTGAGCGTGCGCTGTTTGTTTTTGTCTTTATATCCTTGTGCCCGCACCGTTGTTGTGTCTCCCTGCGTGGAATGTAACGCATGCCCCCACTGAGGAGAGGAGAGTGTCCGGTGTGCGTCTGCTGCGGGCCAGTGCATCTGTGATTGACTGCCGTGCTTACACCTCCCCTTTCTCTCACTGGCTGTGTGTGCCTCACCCCACCCACTGCCTTGCTGCAGGAGACAAGACACAAGACGGCCTTCAGTGATGTGCGCTGGTGGCGTGACAGCCCCCACGAGTTCTGCACGATGCGCGGCACACACCCGCGGTGCTGCGGTGTACGTTCTGCTTGTTGTCGCCACCCTTGTGACGAGTGTGAGTGCACAGGTGCCACCGACGGTTAAGATACTCGATTTGTACTATACAGCATATCCTATTGCGATTAATACCGTCAGGGCGTACAAGACCGGTTTCCTCGCATCACTGTGGTCGCGCAACAAGACTGTTGGCGACGGGCTGAAGGTGGAATTTATCTCAAGGGAAACGGCGACGACTGTAACGGGTGTTCCTGATGTTATCGACGAGGCTATAGAGAAGCACCCGGATATTCTTGTAGCCTTTGGCCCCAGTAGTGATTACGGGTTGTTTTTCGCCATGCCAGCGCTGCAAAATCACAACTTGGTCGCCTTTTCCCCAACGACCGGCACCGTTTTTATGCGCTACTGGGACCCGCACTTTTACTTTCTCCGCTTGGACCCCGTTGTGTCGGTGGCTTTTCTCGTGCAGTACGCCCTTACACGCCTTCGTGTGCGGCGACTGAGCTTCATGTACCTGACAGATTTCGTGTATGGCGACCTGGAGTACGTGTTTGCGCAGCGGCTGATGCGGAAAATGGGCTACTCGCTGACCAGTACGTTCGCACTGAGTGGTGTGGAGGAGTTAGGGCCCGGCGACGCTGAGTTCCAGGCGGAGTGGGAGGCGTTCGCGGATACCCGTCCTCAGGCTGTCATTATCTGCGGCGTGCTCTCGCCGACCACGATTGCGTTCGTCAACAGCATGCTGACCGACAATCGAACTGCGGGCGCGTTCCTGCTCGTACCGAACTCACAGCTGGGCTCTGTGGCGGCTGGCTGGAAGGCGGCAGTGGCGTCGGGTGTGACTCTTCGGCGTGGGCAGATAGTCTCGACGACGTCGTACCCATTGGCTTCGGAGACCCAGTACACGGTGGTCCAGCGGTTTCGGTCCTCGATGCTGGACTACCTGACGAACAGCAATCAGACGATGTACAACGACACGCAGCACTTCCGGACGGATCCGTTTGATGGAGACTTGATGCTCACAGGCTGGATTGCCGGAGAGGTGCTTGCACAGGCCCTCAGCACGAATGAGTGGGCGCGTAGTCGGGCTGCATTTGGAGCCGCGCTGTTCAACCAGCGCCGGTACGTTGTTGATGAAATCGTCGTTGGTGACTTTGGTGGTGAGTGCAGTAAAGCTGCTGCTGCTGATGGTGCTGTTTGCCAGTGCAACCAGGGCGGCCGCACGGTCGGTATCAAGCGGTCTGTTTCCGGCACGTTCAACATGGAAAGTGATAGATTTGTCGCTTATAAGTACCCTCGTGGCGAATGCTACTTTGACGTGGAAACGCTGAACGCACCTGCGAATGCCATTATGATCGAGGTCACTGATGGAACTATTTTAAGTTCGATCTTTGTGCGATTTATGCGTGGGCAGAGCGCAGCTGTGGTGTCCGATGGTTCTTCCAGACACGAATACTCATTGATGTACATACAGACTACAACTTCAGGTGCCGTGAAGGCGCTGAAAACGGAGGAAGAAACGTACATCACTGATATTTTCACGGGCTTCGCCCTCGAAGAAATTTTGGTGGTGCCGAACCTCATATTCATCGACCCCGTATTCCTATT